CTGGTGCGCGGCTGCCCTGAGTGATCCACGGCGGCCGATCCTGTTCTGTCGAGCCGGCCGGTGCGCGGGCTGGCCCTGAGTGGTCCACGGCGGCCGATCCTGTTCTGTCGAGCCGGCCAGTGCGCGGCTGACCGAGTGGTCTCACGACGGCCGATCCTGTTCCGTCGAGCCGGCCGGTGCGCGGCTGACCCTGAGTGGTCTCACGGCGGCCGATCCTGTTCTGTCGAGCCGGCCGGTGCGCGGCTGACCCTGAGTGGTCTCACTGCGGCCGATCCTGTTCTGTCGAGCCGGCCGGTGCGCGGCTGACCCTGAGTGGTCTCACGGCGGCCGATCCTGTTCCGTCGAGCCGGCTGGTGCGCGGCTGGCCCTGAGTGATCCCACGGCGGCCGATCCTGTTCTGTCGAGCCGGCCGGTGCGCAGCTGACCCTGAGTGGTCTCACGGCGGCCGATCCTTCTGTCGAGCCGGCCGGTGCGGGCTGACCTAAATGGTCTCACGGCGGCCGATCCTGTTCTGTCGAGCCGGCTGGTGCGCGGCTGACCCTGAGTGGTCTCACGGCGGCCGATCCTGTTCTGTCGAGCCGGCCGGTGCGCGGCTGACCCTGAGTGGTCTGACGACGGCCGATCCTGTTCTGTCGAGCCGGCCGGTGCGCGGATGACCCTAAATGGTCTCGCGGCGGCCGATCCTGTTCTGTCGAGCCGGCCGGTGCGCGGCTGACCCTAAATGGTCTCACGGCGGCCGATATGTTCTGTCGAGCCGGCCGGTGCGCGGCTGACCCTGAGTGGTCCACGGCGGGCCGATCTGTTCTGTCGAGCGGCTGGTGCGCGGCTGGCCCTGAGTGGTCTCACGGCGATCCTGTTCTGTCGAGCCGGCGGTGCGCGGCTGACCCTGAGTGGTCTCAGGGCGGCCGATCCTGTTCTGTCGAGCGGCTGGTGCGCGGCTGACCTGAGTGGTCTCACGGCGGCCGATCCTGTTCGTCGAGCCGGCCGGTGGCGCTGACCCCGACGCGGCGGGTTTGGCGGCAGCTCTGATTAAATAAGAGGAAACCATTGCAGTCGGCCGCACCCAGAATAACGCGCGGCCTGACTGCTGAATCATAATGCGAAGCCTTATCGCCTAATTCTGTCTGATGAATGTAGCTTTGAAGTAGAGCGGCCAGTGTCGGCACCGGCTCCAAATCTGGCCGGGGCAAATCACCTTGGCGAGATTGCAGCGGCAAGGCTCGGACTTAGTAATTGATTCAGGCTTAGCGTTGTGCGACCCCCGGCGCGGTCACTTACTGATAACAGTGTGACATCAGTGTTCCAACGAGGTTGGTTGTTGTATATATGTATCTAGGTTGGTAGTACTTTCGAATATGTCACGCGTTTATACACCGGTGGTATGTACGCTTGGCTTTTTCTGTCCCGCGTATGTCGTAAAACACTCTTGGTAGGGAACGTTCATCCATTCAACAACAGGCATACGTGCCTTGTATTAACCAAAAATGGGTGCTCAAGTCCCAATGTCATGTCACTTACTGCACTGAGATGTCAAGCATGAAAGCACGAGCCATCTGCAAGGGTCAACTGCGGGAAAAATGCATTTGTCACACGACTACCCGTTGCGTGCAATCGCTTTTGTCAGCATTTTCTCTCAGCTGGACTTTCCACCCACAAAATCATTCCGATCTGATTTGTTTAGGAGCGCTGGCACGCGAGAAGCATTCTCTTGATAATCGTTGTGTCTTAGTGTGTAGAGTGTATGTACGACTGTGGTATAATGTGGCATGTGTGTGTTGTGTGTGTGTGTGTGGTGTGTGGTGTGTGGTGTGTGGTGTGTGTGTGGTGTGTGTGTGTGTGTGTGTGTGTGTGTGTGTGTGTGTGTGTCTGTGTGTGTGTGTGTGTTGGTTTTGTTATGATTTTGTGTTTGTGTGTGCATCGGATATTTATTGCTTTTAACTCGGATCTGTTTCCGTAATTGGGCTTTTGACAGCGGAATGCATATGTCCCCAAATAAACAAATAAAAATAAATAAGTGGTGAAGAGTCGGGGGGCAGGAGGTTTTAGTCGACTGCAGCCAGATAAATCAACGGCTTTTAACACTGCTTTGATGCCCTGTAGGCAGCCCTAATGGCCGTATGGCTAGAGGTTGCGTCTTTCCGTCGTGTCGATGTTCGTGCTATGTAGATTTGCCAATACTGATGATTGTTCGGTTGTGATGATTTTATGAGAAAAGGTTGCGTTATGGAAATATGCCAGCCGTCTCACGTTGAGGACTATGTTTTGGTTTATCATGTCCGAAATCTTATCAAACCTCCTTCGGTATAACATAACTTTCGCGCAGAAATTGAGGATTGACCGAACCTGCACAAGTTTGGTTGGTTTGCTTTTCCGTAGATCGACATGCGGTAACGAATTATGGACATGACCGAAATCGGTACTAGTGTACCGACATATTAACCGAGACTACGCTAGGCCTCATATGAGCACAGCCAAAAGGAGCCCATCGCAGCGTACTTCCGTGCTGGCAATGTGCGCCGAGAAGATGAGCGATCGATTGAGGGTCAACCCAAGGTTAAATGCAGTACTGCTCTCCTTCACGCTGTCTGCGCCTCGAACTGAGACAGGAGGCACGTACCGTTCATTTGTTGAGTGCCAATGACGATGAACTGGGTTTTGCTCATTTACACTTCATGGCATGTTGTCCAA